ATATTCCTTTTTTTGGCGTTACCTTTGAATAAGTTTGTGTAAACATTTCGAAAACTTTGTGGTTATGTTCAGCAGACTGTCTGAAATTGATCTAGGATCCAAGAAACTTCCAACATATTACTGAGAAGCTTAACAGTATTTAACTTCAATAGTATTTCAAGTTTAAGTTGTTAATTGGATGTATATTTCCAACTACTAGCAATTTGTTTTCTTATAATCAGTAACTGGTTAGAAACATCAATTAACTGTTTTTGACATTAAATATCAAAGATTTGAATTGTAATGACATTTAATGTAATTTGTTAAAATTCAAAATAATTAAAATATTTTAATTGCTGCATTTTAAACAATATTTTATTAAAAGATTTAACTTGTGTAAACCTAATTTGAGATAAATTTCAGATTTTTTTTTCCTAAAAAGATTGACAATAAAACTGATTTTCTATTTTAATATAGTGCTTAGCTGATACCGACTTTAGTAGATGATTATTTGCACGTTATACGTTCTACTCCATCATTACAAAGAGTTGTTTATGCTTAATAATAGGATAAAGGACAGACATTCAAAGTCTGCAATTTATCTGCACGTGTACCAAATTATTTAATCACTATTTTAACCTGTTGTGATAAAAACTGTGTGTTTAATACCCTACAGTATTATATATTAAGGAATAATTCTAAATATATAGACGACTAAAAGATATCATGTGTAAACTTTTTTTCTTAATTTTACTGAAAAAAATAAGTAGACGTAACACATCACCAGAATTAGCTAGGATAAAATATCAACGATATATGTAAGACATGATTTTCGGTTCTTGCTGCTTACTTTGTCCCTAAGTCGAAGCCAATAAATTAACTTAACTTGTTATATATGCTAACTGAATGGCAACATTTTATATGCAGTATTTATCATATTGGACTGTATATAGACCGCGTTATGTCTTGGATACGGGATATTCTTGAGAATCCTCCTCTCTGCTCTGTGCAGGATCTATGAAGCTGGTGTACATTTTATAGAGTTTAATATTATGTTTTTTGATCTTCAATATGAGGTGATCACCGTGTTTTCCATGCAAATATTGGACTATTGTTATTGGACAAAGTTTAATCTTTGTTAGTTATTGCATGTGTATGTGTGAAACATATCACCTAGTTAGGCACTACATAAGAAATCAAGAACACTCAAAAACCTGCTCCCATCGTGGCCTGTTTTAGATATGCACGTGGAGAATATTGAATATTCCCATATTTGCTTGTCTCAATAGAAACAAGTTAAATCTTATAAGTCAAAGAAAAGACAAAGTTACATACATTCCCACATTGATTTACATAAATAAATCGTAGGAAGGTTGACCGAATATTACTTCCAATAGCAGATTTGATCTCTTTCTAAACTAGAACATTTGGTTGGACGTGACAAAAAAAAACAAAAAACAACAACATCTACATATTTTCCAAAGCAGGTGTATTTGAGGAAATATTTGTCTCCCTCGGTCAGAACTTTCCTGTGCCACTAGGACGAATGCTGTCATACAGCAAGAAGGCGAACTCTAATTACATCCGCAAAACAGGACTGTGATATATTTAATGCTAGAGATATCTACTGTGACAGGTTACACAGGTACACTTATACATCTGATGGAATTAATCTTAAGATGGACACCAGACAGTAATGATTTTAAAATCAACTTGTACTCAAATTAAGTTAGTGGATACTTTTGTTTTTACCTGCAACTAAAACTTGATTTATTGAAGGGTATATTAGAACTAGTTTTCGATTATAGGTTAAGGATTCCTGATTACATTTTTGATGTCTGAAAACAAAATTTTGGCTCACTGTTAGTTCCACGGTGGAACACTTTATTGGAAGATGTTGATGTTAAAAAATCATACAACCTTACAATGAATTTTCTCTTCTGTATCTTATATGACCACCCCCAGTGACTCAGTGGTAAACCTGCATACTTTACAACGCTAAAAACAGGGTTTTGATACCCGTGGCGGGTACAGCACATATAGTTTATTATTTAGCTTTGTGCTCAACAACAAACAAATCCATATTTTATATGCCCACCTCACCCCCAGTGACTCAGTGGTAAACCTGCATACTTTACAACGCTAAAAACAGGGTTTTGATACCCGTGGCAGGTACAGCACAGATAGTTCATTATTTAACTTTGTGCTTAACAACAAAAAATCCATATTTTATATGCCCACCTCACCCCCAGTGACTCAGTGGTAAACCTGCATACTTACAACACTAAAAACAGGGTTTTGATACCCATGGCGGGCACAGCACAGATAGTCCATTGTTTAGCTTTGTGCTTAACAACAAACAAGTCCATATTTTATATGCCCACCCCACCCCTAGTGACTCAGTGGTAAACCTGCATACTTACAACACTAAAAACAGGGTTTTGATACCCATGGTGGGCACAGCACAGATATATCATTGTCGAGTTTTGTGCTTAACAACAAACAAGTCCATATTTTTATATGCCCACCCCTAGTGACTCAGTGGTAAACCTGCATACTTACAACACTAAAAACAGGGTTTTGATACCCATGGTGGGCACAGCACAGATATATCATTGTCGAGTTTTGTACTTAACAACAAACAAATCCATATTTTATTATGTTTACACTTCATTTAAGAGTGACCATAATACAGTTACAATTAAATAAAATAAGATAAATCTCGCTATCCGAACCTAATTGTTTAATAAAAATGGCCCCGTTACTTTCTTCTTTACGAATATCTTAAACGAAACCATGCAAAAACCGGGCATCATTATAACAAAGTTTTATTCAAACTTTTTGTCCGTTATCACATGAACAAATAAATTCGAGCTGTAATTAATTTTTCGTCAAACCTTTTTTTTTAAATTTTTACTGTTCATCTAAAGTCGCATGTATGTACTGATAGAGCGAAATAACTAGTGTAACTAACAGAAAATTCAACTACTTCTTGCACAGATAGTTAAAATGTCAACTACTGAAATGTACATGGACTTGCAGTGCTAAAATCTAAGATTTGATTTATCGTTGGAGCTAGAGCGTAGATAGCCCATTATGTAGCTTTGCGCTAGAAGCAAACAATAAACAAACAAAAACGTTGAGAAAACACATTTCACTCTAAAGTTACTTTTTTATTTTTCAAATTTTAAGAGGGCCAAGAATGGTTTAATGAGTAGCATGTTGGTCTACAGATCGAAGGTCTAGGGTTCGAGACGAGACGCCACTGAATATGCTTCACGCTTTCAGCAGTGGGCGAGCTATAAAAATCATGGCCAATCCTATTATTCAATTCACAGTGTCGGACAAAGAGTTGGGTATTTTTGACTGGTTATCTGCCTTTCCTCTGGTTAGTTGTTCGAAATTATACACGAATATTTGTGCCATTTAGTCGTGTGCGCATAAGGTGACATTCGGGATGAACGGTCCAACATTCTACATTTTAAGGGGAGAAAACTCCATTTTACACGGTCGGTGTTTTTTAACTGAAAGAATAACGTCTTTAATGGAGCATAACAGATGTTGCTATTGTTTTCTCAGGTGTCTTGATTTCCATTTCAGTAGTCGAGAAGGATCCGCAAGATGAAAGAAGGTTCGCGCAGAAAATGTATCGTGGAATGAAACTGTGTTCTCTTGATTTTGAGAAAGAAACAGACTGAACACGGTGTTTTTATTGTGTTATAAATATTTTAATTAAAATTTAAACAGTTAAAGTTAACAAACTTAAGACAAAAGACAACGCCTTTACTGAATCGTTAGCTCTCTAAACACTGATAAGAACTTGATAAAAGGCCTGTGAAAAATTTGCTAACATTAGAATTTTACTTGTTAAACTTAGAACTTAAAGTTTACTTATCAAACTTAGAACTTAAAGTTTACTTATCGAACTTAGAACTTAAACTTTACTTGTTAAACTTAGGGCTTAAACTTTACTTGTTAAACTTAGAACTTAAACTTTATTTACTTGAGGAAGAGAGTTTATCTCTTTGATAAAAGTAGCATCTGTTGAATCCCAGTTAGCCTAATGAGACCTAGTATTAGGTGAAGGGCTGCTAGGCACTGGATTAGCAGATATGGTGTGGTTAACGTATTATTACATTTTTCTTTACTCTCACTAGAGTTTTTATAGTTGCTAGACAGAGACAGACTGAAAGAGTGAAATATACAAAACCTTATAATGCCATTCCTATCAACAATGAGTGCTCTACCCACGTCACTCTTGGTCATTCCAATAGAAAAGCCCCCCCCCCCCTCCGTGGCTCAGCAACAAGTCAGAGAGCTTATAACGCTAAAACCCAGATTTAGATATACGTTGTGGAGCACAGATAGCCCATTGTATAGTTTTGTTTTAACAAAAACTCTTTCGAACAAAAAAGATGATGTTCCTTAAGATTTAACCTGATACACCAGAGGAAAACATTGCGGTCTACCTTTACATAGTGTATTCTACTTTACAGAACTCTTTACCGTGAGAAAGCTCATGTTACATCGTAATGGAATGACCCAAAACAGTAGGTAACTAAAACAAAATGAATTTAGCAACATACCTTGACAAATGTTTTACTTTTAAAATAATTTACATTTTTATACACGAAAACTTAAAAACAAACTTCAAGAGTACATTTTACTAAATAAAGGAGATAGAAAACAACATGCCTGCATAATACAGTTACTAATAAAATTTTAACATGCATTTTATTATATAGCAACTTGCCGATGTTGCCCGAGAACTCAATATGATTCAAATGATTGTGAAGGAGAGACAGTGAAGTTAGAAAATAAAAACAATACAAAATTTGGGTAAAACTGTGTGACATATTATAGTTCTACAATACGCGCTTGTAATATCGATCACTAAATGACATTTGAACACCACAACTATTTTTCATACTGTATAGCCAGAGAAATTATTAAAAACTGCTATAGTTATTTATATTTCAGCTACCTTTAGAACAGGATTATAACCAACAGACTTTTTTCAGCTACTGTTCGTGCTACTGAGGAATCAAAAGGAGGACTGAAGTATGAACTTGTTCTTGCTGAACCATCTGACGCTACTCCACCTCCAAAGCTTGCCTCTTCTCCACCGAAAAGCAACTTATCAGCAGAGGACATTGAGAACAAACTAAAAGCTGCAGAAGAAAGGCGTCAGGTTAGTATATACAAACAGAACTTAGAATGGTACTTAGTTGTAGCAAGTTATTATGTTTCTGTTAAGAAATTGTCATGGCATTTTTGTGTAACACATAATAACAGATAATATGCTCATTTTAACAAAGTTGTTGAACTAAACCCTATATGCGAAGGTCGTATCAGAATGAGTACTTTGCAAGTTTCACAGTGGCATATAATTGGAAATTAAATCTTCTTTCATAAAATATGTTTCAAATTATATTCGGATATCTTTAATCATAAATTTGAGTCTTGTAAAGTTGAGGATTTGAAATATCATCTAGATTAGCATTTAATTCGTTATTTTTACTCAATTTTCGTTTGTATTATGATTATTTCGAATTGTTAGCTTAGCATAGGGACTTAGGACTGACTTAAATCTCTTACGCTAGCCGAGCCGCGTGAGATATTGTTAGGATTACGGCCGAAAATATCACTTACAGCAAGAGTACCTAACTTGCATTCTAATCATTATATGTTTGTCGTATGACTTTGTATACACCTAGTCAGAGCGGTATATTAAATTAGCTATATTAATTAGTGGTTAATTTTTATTTCTGATCTATGTAGGTAGCTTGCTTTGATCAAAAGTTAATGACTTATTATTTACCTAACGAGCTCGAGTTATCAGTTTCTTGCGTCTTGATGTACATATTTTCAACACTACCTAGTTTGAGTTTCATAAAGCGCTTAGTACTTATAAAAGCAAAACAAGAGTTTCAAGCAAATGCACCTTTTTTTCACATTCTTATATATTGTTCTAAGCATTTTCTACAGTTTGTTTGTTTTTGAATTTCGCGCAAAGCTACACAAGGGCTATCTGCGCTAGCCGTCCACAATTTAGCAGTGTAAGACTAGAGGGAAGGCAGCTAGTCATCACCACCCACCGCCAACTCTTGGGTTACTCTTATACCAACGAATAGTGGGATTGACCGTGACATTATAATGCCCCCACGGCTGAAAGGGCGAGCATGTTTGGTGTGACAGGGATTCCAACCCGCGACACTCAGATTGCGAGTCGAGCGCCCTATCCACCTGTCCATGCCAGGCCAAGCATTTTCTACAGTTTTTTTTTTTTTTTAGAACTGAATTTAATTTTTTAATTACGGTTTGGTATTTTCTTCAGACTTTAGAGGCTCAAAAACTAAATCAACTAAGTGAGAAGCGCAACAAAGAGCAAGAAGTTAATCAGAAAAAGCAGGAATATAATACAACTTTCATGGAAAAGGCTCAAAAAGACTTAGAACAGAAGATGGAAGAGAAAAAGGAAAACAGAGAAGCCTACATAAAATCTATTCAAGAAAAATCCCGTGAACACGTAAGGAGTCGTTTAATTATTGCAATGTGTTTTCCCTTATTTTACAGTTATTCACTATCTTAGAATATTTACTAACTGTCTTATATTTGAATAATACAATTTATTGCACTTTTTCGTCACTTTGAACAAATTAATTGAAGATGTATATAAAAACATTTGTATCTCGATGCTTAACTGTTTCTCAAATCTTGTTTTAGTATAAGTGCTCTTTTCTTTTAAAATAGTAAACATATTTTAAAGATAATATTGTCATAATGTTTCTAACGACTGCGCAATGAATAATCTTACAAAATATTTTTATATCAATTTCCAGTCGTAATATTTTTTTGCGTTTACGATAATAAAGTAGACGTTATTTTTAATCCTAATGAGTAAATGAATAAAAATAATGTCGTACAGAAAATTCTGGATGTCAGCACTGAGTTCCTACCATATCCATTCCAAACATTTTCCTTCTACAATGAAGAAACTCGTTAAAACAAGTTTTGAATGACTCAATATAAATATTACGTTTGCATTTGTCTGTCTGGAACTTTCTCGTAAATTTCTCTATCAAACGCTACAAAGCCCATATCGTTAGAAAGGTCTTTGTCCGAGGAGTCTGGATTGCATATTGGCTTTTCAATTCAGAAACACCTTACCATTTTTTCCTCAGTCAAACTTTTTAATGCAACGAGTATGATTCACGATGGCAGAATGTCGTTGTCATTACATAACGACTGGCTTCGATTTCAATTTTAGTTGTTGTTTTTTTTATTTGCAAAATATTTCACACAAACAGCACTTAACCCCCACGTAATTTCCTAAGAAAATTAACATTACACTAAATACAATTGCTATTGGCGTTCTCGACTTATTTAGGTCTAAGATACGCATGCGTAGTTCCTTCAAAACCATATGCTTATCACTTTGTGAACACGCATTCAGACGTTTCTGCATATCCAGCTAAGTTTTCCTTCATTACAATTTTCCATTCACTATACAATGCAATAATTTAGTTGAGGTTCGTTTCATAGACTGCTATAAACACCTTTTAGCTACTTGTTTCTTTAGTACGGGTTTTATTCTTCGTTTTTTGAGTTTCTTTGTTTCAACTCCTAAAACTGTGTCATAGACACTTATAATTGTTTCATACTCTGTACACTATTGTAAATACCATTACTATACTTTATTGTTTAGTTTTATTAAATAAAGTCTACGTGAGTTTGTTTGTCTGATCATGTAATTTTTTTTTTCAAATAGACCAAGGTTTATCGATCTAACACACAATGCCTGCAAGAAAGTGTAGCGTAAAATGCCATGTGTGATAATGATAGAATAAGGAAAATTCAAGCGAAGAGCATGAAAATTACCGGAAATGTTTTGTTGTTCGTGACTAGTTTATTGCTAAGGAATATTAGTTTTAACGTCTATTTCGAATTTATGATCTACTTGTTAGGATTAGAGCATATGTAGGGCTAGTTTTAAACGATACTTTTAGGTAAGATAATTAACAAAATACTCTGTACGCTGTTACAAATACCACTACTTTATTGTTTACTTTACCTGTAGTTTTATTAAATAAAGTTAAGTACGTGTATTTATGTAAATGAAGTTACGTCTACATGTGTTTGTTTGTCTGACTGTGTAAAATTCTTTCAAATAGACCAGGATTTATTGATATAACAAGTAACTTCTGCAAGAAAGCGTAGTAGCTTAAAAGCCGTGCGTGAAAATGAAAGAATAAGGAAAATTCAAGCAGAGAGCGTGAAAACTACCGCAAATGCTTTGCGGATCGCGGCTAATCTTAGGATAATACACATGTATTCTATAATTCGACATATATATGTTTTCCTTATGAAAATTTTACCTTCTTTTTTCATGTTCTGAGTAAACCTAATAATTTTTGCTGTGTAAGTATTATAAAAAACCCGGTTATTTGTTATGGAAATTCTTTTAACATGTGACGCTTGTTTTATATTAAAACGTTTCGGTCATTGTAGGTGGCGATTATTTTATCTTTAGTATATGAATGACAAGGGTTTATTTATTTGTTGTCCGTAAATAAAAGCATTCCTAATGTTCTTGTAACTTTTTATCCCCAACTTAAGATAATTAATAAAAAAAAAGAAAACGGGATTTTGGAGTTAGAAAAAGTATGCTGAATGTGTGTGTTGCTTTAATGGAAAAGCGACATTTTTAATTGTTGGTTTAAACCAATTTCTTCATATGTTCACGTTCCTCTTAATTTTTTATCTATCCTATATTTCAAATGTAGAATTTGAAGGCGTAGTATTTACGAATATTGTTATTCGTTGCTCCAGACAAATAAATGTAGATTTTGTTTTGTTATTTGTTGCTCCAGACAAATAAATGTAGATTTTATTTTGTTATTTGCTGCTCCAGACAAATAAATGTAGGTTTTAATTTGTGCTTGATTTTGTTTCGCCTATAATTTGAAATATTTGAGTTTCCTCCAGCATGAATTTTATCCTCCCTCATTTTCTGCATGTCTACAGTTGTTTTGATTATTTAATAATTTCTTGTGAATACGTGTTGCTTAAAGATGCAAAAGGTGGAAGTTATGAGAGAGTTTCTTGACGTACAGACCGATCAATTATTGAGAAATATGAAGAAGAAACTTGAAAATGCCACAGAAGCTCGAGAGACCCAAATATATGCACTTCAAGAAAAACTAGAAAAACATGTATGTATTCGCATCAGAAAAAAAAAAGTGACAGTCGCTAGTAAGTTGTGAACAATAGTAACAATGAGTTCAATTATTATTTTAAAGCATGCCCTTGGTACTGTTGCTTAAACATCAACATAAGTCATATGTTTCCATAAATTTCGTTCTATGTAATAAAGAAACAGCGTGTACTAAATTTCTTTAAAGAATTAAAGGGGCAAGATTTTGAACAACAGAACTTTTTTTTTCATTTTCGGATAACCATGGTTTATGTATTTGCTGTATATAGTTTAATCAGCATCGATAAGATAACTTCTAGTTACAACACGCGCAACCCGAGTGTCCTTAAATTTAAATTATTCAGATTTTGGGCCTAACTGCTTCTTTGAAAGTCACATTTGACGAAGAAATAAAATAAAGATACTCAGTCACAAGTATTGCCCCTCTCTCTGACATTGATGCAGTCTGCTCATCTGAAATGCATACTGTTCACCAGTCTATGTGCCCCCCCCCCCCCCACTAGCACAGCGGTATGTCTGCGGATTTATA